ATCAATAGCGCTCCTGAATTTTTCTAGTGGAGCAACAAAAATACCAAGTTTGATTACAAAAGTTTCAAATACTTGCTAAAATACATCATTTTTTCCGTTCAAGCTCCATTTTCCGCTAACTCCATAGCCATGCGACGTTTTCTTTCGTCTTGTACAAGTAGTCTAATTTCAAACGTCATTGCGTGCTTTGCAATGTGTTATTTGTTATTTTAACGCAGTGGATGCAGGGCAGTGGCTGTATGACGACGACTAAATGAAGGCACTATATTCACGACAGCCGGTCAGCTGGTAGTGTACCCGTTGGACGCAAACTGACGACAACCAAGGATTAAGAGTAGACCTAAAGGCAGCCGACCGTCGTGTACATATAACAACTTCCTCATTTGGGTTTTTCCCACAGCACATGTTCAGGGGCTATCTAGGCCTATGCGATAGTGGTAGAAATATTGTTAATTATTTAATCAATGATTTTGTGTTCTTATCTGATACGAAAAATACATTTAAATAATATGTGTAATATTTTAAGAATGGGTCGCTTTGTTACACGATGTACGTACTGTAGAGCCGAGTGACCGCAGTAGGATTCCTAAGACAAAGGCTAGGCCTAGCCTAAGTAAGTAAATCGCGGTATCTCCCAAGGCTAGGCTTAGGCTGCCCTAACCTAGGATAGGCCTACCTAGGCGAGGGCCAGATCGTAAGTCCTTGATTATTGCATTGACAGACGATCGAAACCATTTCCAGACAATCGGAACCAAGCTAATTTTGAATCATCCTTGCTGGGAATTTATGTCCTGATACATAATTTATTGTTCATTCTCTTGCACAGTGTAACAACAGGCAGTAACTGTAGGCCTAGTGCTAAAATTACTGAAATGGCCGTTTGACCAAATTTTGTCGCTAAAAAACAGTTCTCCTCAATTTCTTGAGGAGAGCTGTTAGTAGCTCTCCCACTTTTTCTTTAAATCAAGGTCTGCAGAAATATAAAATAGGCCGCCCAAAATGGAAGCTAGTGGGCATGGCCCCGAGCTGATGGGTGGGCCACGCAACCTCCCAAACATAAGAAAAAAAATTAGAAAATTATGATCTTTAGAGGGCATTTAAAGGTGTTTAAATGTTGGAATTTTGTCTTCAAAGGAATAGTGTTGAATTAGTTATCACAAAGATATTTTGGTTATAGTCACTCACATAATGTTTCAAGGCTATGAGAATAATCTACTCTAGGGCCTCCGAATCGACAGATAGGTCAAACCTACTGTATTTTGTTGACTAATAAAATTTACCTTGTGACGTTAACGACAACAAATCTTCTTTACGGTATTCATTAATTAATTATAACCAGAGAGTTACGAACACCAGGAATATTATGTCAGAGAACCGAATTTCAAGTACTGTACTTGCAGAGCTACGTGCATGCGTTGTGGGCGACTCAGAACCGTCAATTTTCCAGAGGGTATAAACGTTTTAAACATGACGCATGTTGTTAGTGAACTTTTCACAGCCGTAGGCAATGGTTAAGCTTTATATTTTCTGGGAATCCCCACTGAATATTGGTATGAAAACAATATACATTCAATCAATAAATGTTGTTTTTAAAAAACGTAAATAAGATTTAGCTTTAGTTGAATATATTATTCGATAGATTTAAAGAATATAAAGAATTTGCTAAAGGTAGACCTGGCCCAATTAGGCTAGGCTGAGCTGATTAGGTCAAAAGGTAAAAGTGGCCATCCTAAACAATTGATGGCCGTCCAAAAGACGAGCAGATGGCTCGCTGGCTAAGCCTATGGTGTAAGGCCACACTGCAACCACAATGGGCTCTAGAAGTAGTGTAATTTATGGATTACTATAAACTTACCGGGTGTCCAAGGCTCACTAGGCTAAGCCTATGTGTGACCCCCAAGGGTTTCTGCCTTGCTGAGGGCTGCTGGGTGGATTTAGTGGCATAAATTGTCTCATCTTCTTCATAGTAATTCTTAAAAGAAAAAAAAAAAGAGATAAAAGAATAGATGACCTCCTGCTTTGGATTTTTCTCTCGTAAAGCAAAAATTATTAAATGCTGTTTAATATTTGGATTCGCACAATAATAACAAGTAGACCTATCGTGCAAGTAAACAATATGCTTTTCCTATTAAAACTAATGAAAACCTAAACTAAGTGAAAACCCCTCCCTCCCCCCTTATAATATTATGTAACTTACATATTTATGTCTTTTTATATTTTGATTATATTTGACTTTGTACTTGAGTATGGTTTTTAATTGTAATTTTGATGTTTCCTTCTGTATTTTCTTGTTTGTGTTCCTTTGTACATTTGAACTACACTACTTGGGATGCTACTGTACTTTGGGTTTTAATAAAGAATAAAGAGTTTATCATTGTTAAAAAAAAAACCATTGACTAGGATAAAGATTTTCCATACGAATAGAATATATGAATGGTACTGGGTAAAAGACAACTTGATTTCTAAATTCAAACAAGGTATCCATTCCTAGAAGTCTTATGAAGATAAGCCTATCCAGTAGTGACATTAAAGGGTCTGGACCAGGACATACCTTCAACTTTAGATGACAAAGATTGAGATATCTTAAATAGACACAATGCATACACAGGCCTAATTCTAGAGTCCAGTTAAAATATGTAATAATGTATTTGTGAATTTTCTTTCCTTATAGTTAATCCATGTCAAGTCTGTAAGTAAAAACAACATTTACTTATAAAAAATTGACACTGAATTAACTAAAGGAAAGAAAATTCACAAATAATTTACTGAATGCAGAATGAATTTTTTCCCTATGATGTAATATTGTATTGGATGACATATAATCATATATTTTACTTAAACATTATGCGTCAATATGTATTAATAGAAAAATAAATTAGATTTAATGTAAATATGGAAGAATCATGAAGAAAGAAGAATAGGGACAAAACTCAGAGCAGCTGAAATATTTACCAAAAATAAACAATAATAATTATTTTGACAATATTACATCACGTTTTTGTGAAAATCTTTTAGTCTCTAATCTTTAGAGGTCAAGGTGCCGGCATCCTACATGTTTCATATATACATGTGATTTCCAAGATTTCTTTATATGAAAAAAGGTGTAAAGCTTTTAGTAATGCTATAAAGGCCAAAAAAAAAAAAAAATGAGATAATTCTGAAGAATATGAATTTTGCCTTGAATGATTTAGTAGTAGTGCATATGAACAGGCTGAGAATATGCTAGGAATTGCATTTAAAGATAAAAACACACCCACGGCAACACCCCCTGGCAGTGTATGACAGTTGCTTTTGAGTTCGTAAAAGATATAATAATAATAATAATAAGATATAACGCCTAATAGCCTAATAATGTATAATGCGAGTGTGCGTATAATAGAATAGTTTTAAGAATATATGAAAAATGTTGCATATATATATACAAAAGAAACTGTGTGCGATGTTTTATTTAAGATATTATTTATATTTAAATATAAATAATAATAAAAAATATAATAATAAGTAATATAAGCATTTCTTTCATATTGACATACAAGTAGAAATCATGATTCTTAAACTTGAACCACTATGTGCTATAAAAGAGACTAAGACATTTTCATATTATAAATAGCATCCTGAAGAAGTTTGTTGCATAACAAAGGCTTTGTGTTCAATAAATTATATTTTGTAAGTTTTTTTGACTGATTTAGTTCAATCCAATTATTTTTAAATAGTAAACTAATATTTTATGTTACTTATGCTAGCTTTCGTCTTGTTGTCAACAAGACTTCATCAGCTGAATGAGTTCAGTTTATTATTCATGACTACTCAGGTGTCCTATATTGGAATAAGTCACTTCAGGGAGATCATATAGTTCAAATTTGTTTTCATGTACTTTATTTCAGTTTCTGGTTTTACTGCTTTTTCTTTGTAAGCATTTCAAGCTTTCTAGTCCTTATTTTTGTTGAAAGTAAAGTGATCAATGAAACCTGTAAGCTTGTAAAATAACATACTAGCTAAGAATCCATAGCTTACCCTTTCAAATGACTATAGCGGCAGTAGTTGACTTTTTCAAATTTTTCATCTGTCCACTTAAAGACTAAATGTCATTTACCGCCAGCCAACTGTTGCCCATTTGGATCATCACAGGACTGCAGCTCTTCCAATGCTGGTCGTATCTTTCATCATTGATGTTGAATAGTGAGCTTCTAATTAAAAAATAATTAAAATAAAAAAAGTGCGCAGCGCCTTTGATCATTGATTTGGAATTGACACTACAGTATATAAATCATTAGCATTACAGTATATTATTATTATTATTATTATTATTATCAATCTAACTATTAAATTAAACATTTGCTGATCTGTACTGATATGATGTTAAATAAAATAATAATGATAATAATGATACTGGTATTACTGGTATTAAAAATGATGATGTTAAACAAAGCTGATTACAGTATGTTAAAGCCAAACTCCGAAGGATAATACTTTTTTATCAAACTGTTTTCCTCTGGAAACCTGACTTTAATGACAGTGATAATGATGAAAATATTCATAAAGAGGATGATGATTGATTGAATTTATTCGTAATGTCATAAAATACATAAAAATTATATACAAAAAACCAACAAAATGAAAATAAACATGACCCTGATTACAAGGAAAAGCCCAAAAATATGTACTGTAATGATGATTGGGTTTTTAGTATTAGGCTATGTCTCAAGTACAAACAATGCTCTATCAGAGCCAAATGAGAGGACAAAAATTTGTTCAGGATATTTAAATTTTTAATAGCATTTAAAATGCATTATGTTTGGCTCGTAAATTAACATAACAAGAACACAAGAGTGAAGAACTTCAAGGTAACTTACACGCACTGCTTGCATGTTTTCCTGGCTTGTAATTTTGTTTCACAGATTTATCCCACATGTCAATTCTTTCAACATCAGTTTGAGTAGGTTCACCATCAGGATCAAGGTCAAGAGTCAGGTGGGCCTATTACCTACTGCTTTGGAACTAGATAGACGCAGATATAGAGAAAAGTGTTTACTGTTTGTAGGCCTACTGTGCAGTTTGCTAAATGCATCTTTATCTCTGTTTTGCCATTAAATATTTTAAGTATTTTAATATAAGAAAACAGCTTTTTTTTTTGCATGTTTCATTCATGAATAATGAAATAAAAATTATGAACACACAATATATAAACAAACAATAAATGGAATGCAAGTTGCATGCAAAATACTCTTTTGATTAGAAACCGTGTGCAGTGTTGATCAATATGACTGCATTGCCTTTAATAATGAGTTTAGAATATTTGTCAATTCTGTTTTATTTTAGATATAAAGCACTTTTAATTCCCCAGGGTCCACATGCTTAAATGTTGTTTCTGGTGGAAGAAACCAACTGTCATATAAAGTGCTTTATTCAAGGACACAAGCAAAATGCACAGCGAGGGATTGAAACCCTAACTTTAAGAACCAAGATTCCATTCCATTTATTGACAAATATACAAGTACAGTACATGAAATTTGTTTTCATGGGTTGGGAATACACATTATATAGATATAAATTAAATAATTACCTGAAAGACATAAATACAGTGCATAAAATACTTAAATTATATTTAAATTAACAATAAATAGAATATATGAGGGATGCCATCCCAAAAACCAGCGTACCGTCGCTGTATGATAAACTGAGTAATAACAATGTATATGTCAGTACTGTACTGTACATACTTTAGTACAGAAAAGCTGTAATACTTTTACTCATAACTTTGGCAAAAGTAAATCAGTTCCAGTAATGAGCCATCATTTTAAAGCTTACGATGTAAAGAATCAGAATATATTCAAAACTCAATTTTCATTTGTTGGTAACTGCTGCTGGTTTTGGGATGGCAAGCTTCATGATACAGTAATGAAGATCTGAGTTGTACTCCGAGGAGGTAAATGAGAAAAGCTGTTATATATGGAGGTCAAATGTTGAATTTGAGGGGTTCCCCACCTGTCACCATGCATTGCATGGCTGTGGAGAGAATCTTTACAGGCCACATATCCTGCACTCACACAATTATTGCTACAGGCCTTGTCTGACAAACCAGTATTCAACAAATTTTTAAAAAAAAATGAAAATGAATGATAAATTTTGGGAATTGAATAATTCTGTTAATGAAAAAAAAAATAATATAATACAATTATAAAAAAAAATTAAAATAAGAATTATTAATAGTAATTTCAAAATAATATCATTTAATGCTCATTTCAAAATAAGATCTACTTTTGGGGTTTTGTCTACAGCCTGGCTGGGTGCGAAACCAACTATCAAGTCAATAAAGTTTTATCAGTGGAATACTGTGTAGGCCACATTACAACCACAATGGGCTGTAGTGCAATTTGTGGATTACTATCAACTTACCGGGTGTGTCTGTGGCTTCATCGCTAAGCCTGTGACCCACTAGGGCTTCTGTCTTGTTGAAGGCTACTAGGAGGATTTGGTGGCATAAAATCTGCCTCAATTGTCTCCTTCATAGCAATTCTTAACAGAAGAAAACAAGGACCTACATGTAATTGATAATGAATCTTTTGACTTCAATTTTTGAGGATTTTTATCTCAAAGTAAAAACTACTATTGCTACAGGTATGTTTTTTTGGATTTGCATATATAGTAATATTAACAGGCAGACCTATATAATGCAAATAAACAAAGTCTCCATGCTTTTCCCATTAAAAATAATGAAAACCTTACTTTATAAGGAAGGGCATTTAAAAGGCAAATTTTCTACACAGCATCATCAAATGAATGCCAAACTGAGACAAAATTGAAACCACCAACTTGCTGGACAGCACCACCGTTCATTTCATAATCATGAAATCTTAGCAACTATAAATTGTTCACAGCAAATGGGGCCAAAATAAACTCTACGATTACTATCATTAATATTAAATAATGAGTGGAGTTGAAGCTTTGCGGGTAAGATCATGCCTTTGTTTGACATATCTCCGGCCATTTATCATTTACCAATAATTGCATATTAGTTTTGAGTATTATGCCAAAATTTATTCAACATAAAAGTATTGTTTATATTACTTTTGTAGTAGAACAATTTTAGGCAATTTGTTACTTAGTTAAAGTTTTTTAAAGATAAAATTGACTTTGTCCTGATCAGGATCCAACCCAAAACCCTCTGAATAAAATTTGAATATTCTACCAATTTGTGGTATCCTCCTTTGCATTTTCTAATTTGGAGCATTTATTTTCTCAAGGTATTGCGTAATATGCAGCAAACAATAAAGAAGTTGACAGTTTGGTATGAAGGAACACTTTGCCAGTCAAGCCAGGTGATAAGGTTTTGAAAAAAAAACATTGTCTCCATCAGGATTCGAACCCTAGACCCTCTATGGAATATATGGATGCTCTAAAAAATTACCATTTAAAATGTACACTAGCCTCCTAGCCTACCCCACCCTCTCCCCAACTCTACCCCAAAAAACATAAAAAGATAAAAGATGCTCTATTTACCTCTTTACTGTTACTATTCAATGCTTCAACTGCATTCCTGACACTATCATAGAGGGCGCTATTGAGATCAGACTCATCATTCATGCTGTCATATGTGGACTGGGTACTCTGCTCAACTTGCTGGCTTTTAATTGGTTCATCTGAAACCAGCGAGTCCCTGTTTCTACTCACTATAGATTCCACTGTATTCACTTGCAAAAGAATTTCTCTGACTTTCGAAGAAAACTTCTGAAACTGATGGCAGTACATTTTGCTGGAAGGAATATAAAAGGAAAAATTAATTTATGAATAATATAACCAACATGTAAACAGTGGGAGGCTATACAGGGTCAAAAAAAGGGTGATATTTCAAATACCAAATGTACAGGCCTTACATGAAGTGGCTTCTTGTCCTGAACATTTTAGCACCTTTTTAAAGAAATTTGGTTGAAAATGGGACGGTGAGGGCCAACAAACAAAATTGAGGGAGGAGGGGGAAAAATTACCCCATCAGCGGTGGAAATACATGAAAAAGGTCGTAAATTTTTTATCTGAAGTCATATTTTAGTGATATAGTGTCTACATATATATATATATATATAAATATATATATAAATATATATATAAATATATATATATATGTTTTTGAGATGTATATGTATATATATATATATATCTATATATATGTGTGTGTGTATTTGAGGTCAAGAAACTGAATAGTGGTGTCAGAAATACTTAAAAATGTAAATATAGTGGTTAAATTTTACGATTTTTTTTTTTTTGGGAGCGTTACGGTAGGAGTACAAGTTACGTATTGTACGAAAAAAATATGCACAGTTAATTTTTTTTTTCCATCAATAATCATTTTAGCAATATCTATTTCCATTCTTCTTGTACTTTTTAAATCATAAAAGATTTTAATGAGCATCGTAGTGCTATATGTATCTTAGTTTTGATAACGTCTAATGGTGCGTACAGTATCAACAACCATTAGACATGCTGTATGTAGAGTACAATCATTTTGCAACACACAGAAGGTTTAGCTGATACTCGCATCTACAAATCTACACAAAACTCTACAAAATATTATTAAATCCAGGGATCTCAGCGAGCAAGTTGTGTAGTATTTGTTAATCATTA